TTAAAGGGGCCGCGGCTCGCTGTGGGCCCCACCCCTGTGGGCGCGCTCACCCGTGCTAGGGTTCCACCTGGTAGCTCCAGGCCTGGAGTAACCGAGAAGCTAAGGGTCTGGCTGGATGAAAAAAGAATTTAATTTTAAGCACGCCACAGGCATGCAGTCTCTCTTAGATTGCAGTCCGCTAGCCATTTTTTTAAAACTTGGTTTAAAAACATAGATAATAGGAAATTTACCCCCACCTTTCTCCTTCCCGTACTGGGGATTGAGCCCAGGGCCCCTTCACACTGAGTGCATACCTAACTCTCCAGCCCTTTTTTATTTTTTAATTTTGAGGCAGGGTTTCCCCAAGTCGCTAAATTGCCCCGGTTGAGCTCACTTGCGGTCCTCCTGCCTCAGCCTCCCAGAGTGCTGGGAGAAATTGACCACCTTTTCAAGTAGTATACAGTGCTGTGCGGTTAAGCATACTCGCATTGTTAGAAACTTTTTCATCTTGCAAACCTGAACCTCTGCCCATTAAATAGTCCCTCACCCCGCCCCGAGCATCCTGGAAACTGCTATCCTTTCTCTCTTCATGTGTGACTATTCAGGGTACCTCATATAAGTGACATTTTACAGTATCCTTTTGTGTCTGGCTCTTCTCACTGGGCACAGTGTCCTCAGGGCCCACCCAACTAGTCTGTATCAGCACTTCCTTCCTCTTCTCTTTTGCCTTTTTGGATTAAGAGATGAAACCCAGATCTTCATGCACTAGATAGGCATTCTGGTGCTGAGCTACATCCTCAGCCATTTTTGAGACAGGATCTAGTGAAGCTTCTCAAGCTGGTCTCGATCTTGCCATCTTCCTGCCCTGCCTCCAGAGTAGCTGGGATTACAGCTGTTTGGCTTTTTGTTTTTGTTTTTTTGGTACCAGGGATCGAACTTGGGCCCTTAAGCCTGCGAGGCAGGCGATGAAACCACTGAGCTAAATCCCGGGTCCGTTCATTTTTTTTTTTTTTTTTTTTGTATTTTTTCTTAACTTCCTTTCG